GAAACAACAAGGCAGACAACTACAGGTTGTTGGTGGAAAACCTCCTCAAGGCATACAAAAGCCTTGGTTGCAACATGTCACTAAAGATACATTTTTTGCACTCTCATCTAGATTTTTTTCCACCGAACTGCGGAGCAGTGAGCGACGAGCATGGCAAGCGATTTCACCAGGACATTGCAACAATGGAGAAATGCTATCAGGGCAAATGGAGCCCATCAATGCTTGCAGACTATTGCTGGACAGTGACAGGAGATGCTCCATTTAATGAATACAAGAGACAAGCCAAGACGCGCCGAGTAGACACTGAATAGGATTAAACTATGTACATAATAGTTTTTTGCCTTTTGTTTCATAATAAATGTTATTTATATAACCCTTTTGCTGATTTTTAAAGTGTTACATAAACAGGACAGGTGAAATATTATCATGTAAAGCAACCATAAACACATGAAAAGACCTAGGTTTACAAATTATGATTAAAACTCTACTATCTACACAATATACATAGACATAAAATGTACAAACTTAAATATCTTAGAAACAGTAGCCAATCAGTTGTTTTAATTGTCATATTTGAATTCAGCACATCAAAATACATAATAAATAGCACATTTTATCTCTGAAGCAGACGACTTCTCAAAAATTGTAGACCAGTGTAGCCTGATAGTGGTCACTGGAAACTTGGCTAGATGGACCACTGCTATAATCCAGTATAGCTCTACCTATTCATAGATTCTAAGGCTGGAAGGGACCATTGTGATCATCTAGTCTGACCTCCTACATGACACTTCATAGAATTTCCCTGAAATAATTCCAGTTTGAAATAGAACATATCTTTTAGGAAAACATCCAATCTTGATTTAAAAATTGCCAGTAATGGAGAATTCATCCCAACCCTAGATAAGTTATTCCAGTGGTTACTTACCCTCACCATGAAGAGAAGAATTCAGCTTGTCTGGTCATCCACTTGTCTTTTGGCAAGACACAATCAAAACTTACTTTTTTCGTTCTTCTCAGATTCATATATCCAAACTGTTTTTTCTCAACTTTCCTGGAAGAAGTTTGTTTGGGTAGAGACCAAGCCTGAAAAGTTTGTCAGAAAAATGAACTCTTCAGGAAAACTATGAAAAACTGAAAATAGATATTAAGATTGTGAACTTATGCACTCTTAATTATAATCAGTTACTGCTATTTTTAATAGATTAAGAAAATTTTGAGAATTCAGTTTTTAGAAATGTAATTTAAAACTCGCCACAATAATTCATGTTTTAGTAACGATCATTTGCCTAATACCTGCAGGATCTGAAGTTTCTGGACCACATCTTTTGCCAGTGAGAGCACTAAATGAAGTCTTCATTGGAGAGTCTCTCTCATCCAGGTACAGTTAACTTCTGCACTGTTAAACATTGAGATGTGACAGTCTAAATTTGTTTTTGTTTAAATATCAGTTTTATGAAAATTCAACAGGTAGTCTTTGTGTTTGCTGCCATATTTCTTTTCAGCCCATGAATATCAGACTTTCATGGGTTACAAAAATAGATATTTACTAAGATGTGGTAGAACAGTTGAGTGACATACCTCTATTCCTGATTGTCGTCCTACCTCTCTAGCCATTCCTTCAGATCTGTTCTTCCTCTCCTTGTGCCTGTGGGGTCCCACAGGGCTTTGTCCTGGGTTCCCTTGTTGCTTTATACCCTTCCTTTTGGTGGTTTCGTGTTCTCACCTGGCTTCAATTGCCATCTTTATGATGACTTGGAGATCTACCTGTCTATCCCTAACTTACTGAGATATGAGACTGGATAGAGATCTGTCCAGCATCTTCTCCTAGATGTCTTGTCATAACGTTAAGCTTAACATGGCCAAAACCAAACTTCCGACCTTTATTTCCACAATCTCCACCACTAGCAACGTTACCATTCACCCTGTCATTCAAGCGTTTGTGTCCTAGGAGAATGGTTTTGTAGGGGAAGGGAGTGAAAATTCAGACAATCAGTATCCAAAGCTTAGTGCTGCTTGCTCCAAGATATCTGATTACTTTTTTGTCCCTAGGTTTAAAATTCTTGTTTCAGGCCTTTATCTCCCATTTCTATTCTTTGAGTGCTTGCACATGTCCATTCCACTGTAGGTGTGAATGCTTGCCTCGTGCACCATATCAGAGAACTTTTTTCCCTCAGCTGTACCTGTCGGGGTGACTCGAGCGCCCTCGCCTGCCTCACACCACTGCATGCTGGTATAAGAGGTTGGAGCTGCCCTGACTCCCCCCAGTTCCTTCTTACCACCAGTGACAGTTACCAGAGCAATCTTACGCTAGTTATCATAAATGCTTTCCTCACTCCTCTGTATAGATACACCCTCTTATTGTTAGGAATTAGTTAAGTTAGTTTTAGCTGTTTTTACTGATCGGTCTTTTGGACTAGGTTTTTTCATTTTTCGGTACTGGGTTGGGTGCCAGAACAATGCTTTGTTCACGAGGGATTGTCCTGCCATACTTGCACTAAAACCCATCAGTCAGTTACCTACACCTGGCCTGTTTAGAGTGTTTGGGAGAATCTCCTCTCAGTGACAAATGTCACACTTTTAAGGTATTTAAGCTCTCCTCAAGGACAGAGTGGCGAGGCTCAAGTGTCTACTCACGGAGGCAGCGCTTCAGCCCAGATCAGACTCATTGCATGGGGAGAGAGCCCCGAACCTGTCGGCCTTGGTGTGGCATGCACCAGAGATGTCTGTGGCTCCTCAGTCCCACTCATTGGTACTGAAGAAAAGAATTAGACCTTCCTCAGATTGAGTACTGTGCTCTGTCGTTTTGGTGCCTAAGCCTAGTAAAGGCAGAGACTCTAAGAAACATTCTGTGAAGAGTCTTTTACAGGAGAAACCTTCAGCTTTAAAGAAGGGATTGCTACTTCTAGAGTCTGTGCCAGATCCATCGAGGGCATCCCCTGAAAGGTGTCTGAGACAGAGCCATCAGCCACTTCTTCTCCCAAGCATTCTGGAGGTGTACGCAGCCACAAGAGACCTACTTAGCCTCTCAGTACCAGTATCCCTGGCAATGCAAAAGGTTCACAATGTGCACCTGCAGCACCCACCTCACTGTCAGGAACTCATGGTACCATGGCCTACCAAGCCTGTGATGATTTTCCTGGTACCTCTTTCCAGCGCCTGTCCCAAATACCAACAGATTCTGCACACCCTCGCACCAAACAGTTCAGACTCTTCATCTTTGGACTCGAAGGTACATTTGTTTGTGTCCCATACAAGGAAGAGGACATAAACTCCATCACAGATGTGGGCATCGTGGGCAGTGCAGCTGTCTCAACACTGTCCTGATCCTCCTTTCAAGAGGCAATGACACTGTCAAGGCTGGGGCCCGAGGCCCTTATCAGTGGCCATTCTGGACACCATGGGACATTCCCCCTCCCTCTAGGTCTTCCCTGTAGCCTTCAGTCTGGGTCACTGAGACTTCTCCAGGGACATCGACCCTAAGAACATCATTCTCCAGTACTGAAATTGCTACCAAGCACCCAGAACCAACTCGGGCTGCTTCCCCACCATATGCCATGGAGCAGCTACTACATCAGAGTCCTGTGACATCCTTTTCCTCATCACCAGATGAAGCATTTCAGGCAGCAAGTGATTCACCACCACCACCACAGAGCTCACCAAGACCTAGCAAGAAGTGTGGCCTCTGTTCTTGATATTCAGATGGAGGTGTGTGAAAGCTCCCACAAGTGGGTGGACATCTTGATAGTGGTGACCCCTGCCAGGGTGACTCTGCCAACTAAGGAAACCATTATGAAGCTAGTCAAGGTGCTATAGCACATGCTTTCTTCCTTACCTCCTGTAGCAAAGCGAGCTGAAAGGAGGTACTATGTCCCCTCTAAGGAATATGAATATTTGTAGTCCTACCGTCCCCTGGGTTCCTTCGCAGCTGCTAATGAATGGGAGAGGTAAGGTCACCAAGTGTCGATGCTGAAAGAAGTGAATAGGCTGGACTTGTTTGGACACAAGCTTTATTCTACAGGGAGTTTACAACTTAGGATTGCAAACCAACAGGCACTCCTGAGCTGCTGACTTCACCCTCTGGGAGAACATTATAAAATTTAAAGACAAACTGCCAAAGGACTGTAATTAGGAATTTGCAGGAATGGTGGACGAGGGCAATCTGTTTTCCAGAACTGCTCTCCAGGACAGTTTATATGTTGCAGATGTGACAGCTCGAATCATGACATCAGCTATTACCACGGGAAGATGTTAATGGTTACAGTTCTCTGGTCTCCCCCCGAAAGTCCAGCAGACCACTTTTTCAAAGGTCCCTCTTTGTTTTCAAATAAGACGGACGATAGGCTTCATAGCCTAAAAGGTTCTGGGGCAACATTAAAATCTCTTGGAATTACTACTGTTAAAGAGAGGGAAACAGTTCCATCTTCAGCAGTCATACAGACATCATGATCATCTTCCCCAGTCTCAAAATCCACTGAGGAGAAAGGGCAGGAGTTAGAGGAGGTGTCTTCCACTGCCCTCCACTTCAGCATCAGTGGGTTCATCCTGTCCGCCCACCTCATTCCAAACAAACACTCTGATGCATTGTTCGAGGGCATAGTTACTGTAGTTCTATTGATTTCCCTCCTTTTGTTTTCCAACCACTTATCCCACTTCCCAAGTGCTTGGGCCCACATAACATCAGATCAGTGGATGTTAATCATGGTAGAACTGAGATGTGCCCTCCAGTTCATTTCTACCCCTCCTCCCACAACCCTTCTCCATCCTTCTTCAAGGACCAATGCTCGAGATCGTCCTTCAGCAGGAGATCCCGTCACTACTTCAAGCAGGGGCCATAGAGGAAGTTCCACTGGGAGTCAGGGGAAAGGCATCTATTTCCAGTATGTTCTGATTCCCAAAGCAAAAGAGGGTCTCAGGCCTATTTTGTATCTAAGAATTAAACAAATTCCTGAAGATTAAGTTCCGCATGGTTAACCTAGCCTAGATTATTCCTCACTGGAGACATGGTGTGCTGCCTTCAACTTGAAGGATGCTAATTTCCATGTTGTGATATGACATGACCATCGTAAGTTTCCCATAAAGGGGTCCCATTATCAGTTCATGGTTCTCCTGTTCAGTCTCTCAGCTACTCCTCAGGTATTCACGAAATGCATGATGGTACTGGCAGCACATCTTCTAAAATCAGGAGTTCACATGTTCCTGGACGACTGGTTGATCAGAGGTTGGTTATCCAGTATATCCACCGTCCTGTCCACATTCGACCCACTGACACTCCTAGTGAATTGGGAAAAATCAATTCACAAACCTGTACAAAGGATAGATTATATTGGGAGCAGTCTTAGACTTTATCAAGGCCTTGCTGCCGCAATCCAGGTTCGAGACAATGGAGCCTTGTGCTTCAACTGAAAGCATACCCTCTCCACCACAATGTACAGCTGTATCTGCATCCTAGGTTACATGGCAGGGTGTATGTATGTGGTTCAGCCCGCCAGGCTACACCTCAGAAGGCTTCAGGCATGGCTAGCATCTGTGTATACTCCAAGTTGACATCACCTGGACAAGGTGGTTCGGTGCCAATGTCAGATTTGTCATCCCTGGTTTGGTGGATAGACCCTCTGATTCACTGTGTGTGGGTCCCTGTCACTTCCCTGCTACCAGCCCTCACCACGAGTGGTCTCTATGTCCAGACATTGCTGGGTCACTCTTTTGCATGGGGGAGAGGGGAGCTCTTCAAAGGACCTATTTGCAACAAAGACCAACAAAAAATGCCATTGGTTTTGCTCCCGGGGAGGTCTCAGCCTCGGCTCTTTGGCAGATGGGTTTCTACTTCCTTGGAAAGACTCTTCTGTACACCTTCTCTCCAGTTCCCTTGCTGCTCAGGGTCTTGTGCAAAGTCAAGACCCTGAGCATCCCGACCTACAAGACCTTACTTAAAAGCGTGGATGCTTCATGGTTAACACAACTAGAGGCATGTATCTGGCGAAATGGAAGTGCTTCTCTGTTTGGACCCAGCAGAAAGTTGTACCCCCAAAGCATGCTCCCCGAGCCTCATTTTGTACTATCTTCTTAACCTGAAACATCAGAGTTTAGTGACCAGCTCCATAAGGATACACCTGGCTTCCATCTCAGTTTGTCAGACCTCAATGGATGGTAGATCCTTTTCTCCAACCCAGTCATTACCAAGTTCCCAAAGGGCTTGTCCAAGTAGTACCCACATCTCCAAGATCCTGTTCCCTCCCCTCTCCCCTTGGGATCTGAACTGGGTCCTAGCTAAGTTAATGGGACCACTATTTGAACTCTCTGCAAGTTGCTCTCTGCTTCACCTCTGTATGAAAGTAGCATACAGTGGCCACTACCTCAGCCAGAAGGGTGGACAAATTAAGAGCCCTAGTGTCTGTTTCCTATACAGTTTTCCACAGGGACAAAGTTTGTCTTCACCCTCACCCAAAATTTCTCTCCAAGGTAGTCTCTAATTTCCATATTAACCAGGCAGTCTATTTCCTGATATTCTTCCCCAGACCTCATGTCTACAGAGATGAGGAGAGACTTCATTCATTGGATGCAAGAAGTGCTTTAGCTTTCTACATGGACAGAACTAAATCCTTTAGATTCTCCACATGGTTGGTTGTTTGTTGCAGTTGCAGACAGGGTTAAGGACCAACAAGTCTCCACTTCCACTCAGAATCTCATCCTGCATCTCATTGTGCATTCATTTGTTACCAGCTAGCCAAGGTATCTCCACCAGCTAGAGTTATTGGTGTGTGTCACGCTGTCTGGAATAGCTCACATCTGAGAGTGCCAATCTCAGGTCAAACTGTCAGAGAACAGGGTAGACGCCCCAAACTGGTGGTATATTCTATACTTAGATTTCACCAAGCCGGTAACAACTGTGCACTTCTGAATTGCTATATTAGTCTTACTATAGAGTCACAAACAGTCCCCATTAGGCTTTCCAGTGCATCTTGCCACCCAGGCAAACTGGACTAAGCGATGAAAAGTTATTAAAACCAAAATTCACCACACATTAAGTCACTCCCAACCCCAAAGGGCCAGTCACTTATCCCAGGTCAACGGATACTCTTGATCTCACACCAAAGACAATGCTGTAGACAATTTCTCTGGTAAACTAAGATTTATTAGTTAAGAAAAGAAATATGTTTTTGAGAGATTAAAGCAGGTAAAACACATTACAGGTGAATCAGAATTTCAGTCCAAATGGTAGCAGAGATGTAGTAATCTGGTTTTTCATAAGTCTCTCAGGATTACCCAAAATGCCTTTGGGGATCTCTGTCCAATTGCTCAGAATTCCCCCGTCAGACTCCGAGTCCAGAGATATAGGGTCGCTTCCAGGGTTCATTCTTATAGCTGTCTCCCCTGAAAAGCTGTCTGGCACAGTGTTCCCAGCACACCATGAGTCTGTAGATTTCCCGTTGTTGAACGCAACGACCCATGCTTTGAAGTTAGCGTGCTTCTCATTTGCAGTTCTAACGATTCAGTCCTGGTTAATGGGCAATTCAGTTACATAGACATACATAATACATTTAATTACAGACATCCAGACAGTCCATTAGATTTCATGCGGTTCTACACATTGAGTAAATTCTCATCTAAACACTAATACATCCTTTGATTTAGGGCTAATTAAGTACAGGTGTGTGTGTGTGTGTGTGTGTGTGTGTGTGTGTGTATATATATATATATATATGTGTGTGTGTGTGTATAATGCACATTGTAATGTAATAATATTCAGCAGATTACAGATAAATGAAGACAATACCATCACATTTCCTTTGAATTGTGCCAACACACATTACCATGTCTTTTGACGCTCCTTTGATTGCTGTTAGCCTGCTGCTGTGGTCTGAGCTGGCGACCTACCAGACAGCGTCACAGCGTGTTCTTCTAGAACACAGGCAACGAAGGCAGCTTTCTTGGTTCTCATGCCAATCTTAGACATTTGCAAAGCTGCGACTGGTCATCAATCCACACTTTCGCTTCTTATTATGCTATTTTCCGTCAGTGCAGGATAATGCCATTTTGGATGAGTTGTCCTTCAGTCACTATTCAAGTAGACTCTGAGCCCACCACCGTATTTGTCTGCTCATGTGTGACTTACAGTGGAATGGACATGTTCAAGCACTTGAAGAAAAACCAGTTACCTACCTTTCTCTAACTGTTCTTGTAGGTGTGTTGCACATGTCCATTCCACGACCTGCCCTCCTTCCCCCTCTCTTTTGTCCCAGTAACAGTGGAAAGAACCTACTAGGAAAGGCTTTAAAGTTCCCTACAAGAGCTTACTGAGCAGGTCAGTAAAGAAAATGAGTAATGATATTGGAATAACTACTGTCTATTCTAAACTTGCTTTGAGGGTGCTTGTCGTATCTTTGACAGGTAAGTCTACTTTATCTGTGCTCCATTTCTTAATAACTTGGTTTCAGTTTCCTCCATCTTTCTATGTTGAGTTCTTTAAAAATGTGCTCATCTAAAACTCTGGGTTCATGTACAAAAATGAAGCTAGTTAGGACCAGGTTTCAAGGTGTAGTCTTCCCAGCCTATCCAGATAAGAGTTTATCATCCATACAGCTCACTTTCTAAGAAGAGCTTTTGAAGTGTGACTCAAATGTTACTAATGAATGTGTGCTGCTGACATACTGTGTTTTTCAGGAAGCTAGATTTCATGATCTAGACTGGATTTTATAAACGGAACTAACTCTCATATTTCAGCAGCTCTAGCCCAGGGAAGTTTTGAGACTTAAAGAAAAATGCCACTCTCAGTGTAGCTTAGCAGATGTACCATAATGCATTGCACAGAAAAGTAATTGCTTTCCAAGACAGTCATGTAACAAGATGACTACTTTACTACATTTATAGTTTAAAAGGAATTTGTATAGAGCAAAAACAAATCTTGGTGATTTTAATTGTCAAAGCTATTTGAAGAATCCAGCTGTATTTATAACTTGCTATTGAAGTGATCACAAATTCAAGTTTGAAGCTTTGCTCTTACTTACTGGCATTAGAATTTTTCAGTTCACTGGAATTTCCTACCAGTTTGAGTTTTCTGATGTAATCTGGTAACATGGGACCAAATGACGGCATTAGCATAGTTTATGCAGTAGTTCAATAACTGTACAAGTGGAGATAGTTGCATATGTAATTCCATTTCAGAAAGCACAGAAATCCCAGCTGTACACAAAGTTGTGACCAGTATATAAACTATAAAGAGTTTCTCACCTGCATGGAATGCAATATGAATGGTATCAACAGTTGAAGAATCTGCTTAGCAAAGTTCATGTTGAAATGTGGAAAATACTAGAATCTTCAAAACATGTCATAAGCTATTTTGTAGTAGAAACACAATTTTCAAATTTAACATTGTGTTGATTGGACAACTTTGAAAGTCTACTAAAATAGTTTAACTTTGATTTCTTGCAGGTGTAGCAATGCAAATTAATATTTATGCTAGCAAAGTAGTTTGCTGTCTCATGAGTGTTTTTTTTTTTTTTAAGTAAAGCAATACTTACCTCCATATCAAAAGTTAACTGTACAAAACTCTGTTGTGAAATTGTCAGCCATATTTGAAACTGGTCCTTCTGGATTTATACATGCCTGATATAGGGCTATGTGTTCTGTCTTATTCAGGGTGAACTATAAGTCCTGCAAACCCAGTTTTAAATTCTCGCTTCATAGGGCCTCCTACTATGAGGTATCAGTTGATGATGGTCCATGGGAAAAGCAGAAGAGTTCAGGGCTCAATGTATGCACTGGAACAGGATCAAAAGCCTGGTAAGTTAGTGTCACTATTTTAATATTAAAGTACTAAATGTTTCTCATCTGAAACAAATTTTGAATGACTTGAAGTTTCTAAAACTGTTCTCTGATATGCTCATTTTCTTTAGCTTCTAACACATCAGGCCAATTATTTTGGGCAATATATGAGTTGCCACAAACCAAGTTTCTATCTGATAAATAACTAATGCATAATTTAAAAGAAAAATCATTGACCAATATGTGCTCAGTTTTTCTGCCTATCATGGCTCTCGTGGCTGGGAGTGGCAGACAGACAAGCACATGATGGAAAGGGAAAATCTTGGAGGATCGGGAAACTGAAAACTACATTGGGGACACAGGGTTTGGTCAGGAGAAATGTGAGGGAGAAGCCACCTGTAGATGAGAGGTGGCTGGGGAGGGGGAAGGAGCCAGCCTCTGTTGGATTTGCAGAGTCCACCAAATTTCGTGTCACTCAATTCAATGTAGCCCCTGTGTTTTTTTATAATAAATTGTTGTTTCACACTGTCCACACATTTTTTTTCAGTTTTCATTGTACTGCAGAATTTTATATTGGAAAATACATAATTTCAGGTGGTAGTTGTTGAGGATGAGCATGGAGGGCTTAGCAGCTGAGTAGGGTGAGCTGCTGCAGTGTTTGGCAGCTGGGAATGTACATTAGGCAGATGATTCCGGATGGGTGATGCCTGATGGATAACAATACAATAGTTAAGTCACTGAAAGACAGCTCAGTTTCAAAGTTAAAAATCCAGTGAGATGAATGGGGCAGATCACATGGATGCTTCCTGCACACAAAAAGACAACACTTCACTATTCCTATTTTCATGATTATCTTCACAATCTTAAGTGTTAGAAACAGCAACTTTTAAAATGAATCTGGAGCACAAGATGGCAAAGGTTGAAGTTTATAGCAGATTCTGTTGCTTTTGTTCCAGTAGTCCCTAAATCCTGTCTAACTGGGCTTTTTTCTTCCTTTGGTTCAACAACTAAAAAGCAAGAGAACTTGATTCTTCCTTTGCGCAGGAAATTAATACAGGATCAAGGCCTTGTGCTACTGTACTGTATAAAAACATAGTAAAAGACAGTCCCCGTCTCAAAGAGCTTTCTAATCTAATTTAATACAAAACATAATGGGCCTGATTTTCATTTACACCAAGACTCTTTACATTACATTGGTGGTATAAAGGGGCCTTAAAGCATAAATATATGTGTTTGAGTGGTGTAAAGCCTGCCTTAATGAGAATCAGACCCATTAGGTCTTCTATTAAATTAGAAGACCTAATGGGCCTGATTCTAATTTACGCTCAGGCACCTTTACGGTACTCAAGCATAAATATGCTCCATTTTAAGTCCCTTTTACACTGCCAAAGTAATGGAAAGGAGTCTTTGTAAATGAGAATCAGGTTCAATTAGTGTTGCCAGTTTTGGCTGGACATATTCCTGGAGATTTCATCACAACAGTCTTTAATTAAAGATTAATCTTTCGTTCCTGGAGATTCCAGGACAATTCTGGAGGGTTGGCAACCCTAGGTCCAATAAGTAGGTGGAAGAATGAGGGCAAGAGGGATATGCACATAGACTGTTCAATTTGCAGGTTTTGAGTTGATTTTCTTTTAGATATAAAGAAAACAATTGCCAGCTATTGCTTGGTGGATCTAAGGATAGTGACAGAGGCAGAATTAAGATTATTTGTATAACTTTACTTGTGTGTTTCAAATCTTTTAATTATTTAAGTGAAACTTCAATTTTGGATTACTATGCTTTCCAAAATGTAGATGATTTTTAATCTAAAAGTTGTGTTAAGGCATTTTCTGAAATGGTTATCATCTTTTCTCAACCCTGATTACAACATTATTTTCTCCTGGATAATTTTGAAATCTTTATAGAAGAGATTTTGTCAGCACGTGTTACTTACCAAACACTATCTTTACTTCCATGTTTAGGTCCTATAATATTAACAAGGTGGCAACCCAGGCTGTTGAAGAGATCCTTAAGATTGGTGAGTTGACAGCACACACAGCATTACATGTTAATTTTATCTGAAGATGATCCTGTCTAATTGGGTCCTTTTCTTCCTTTGGTTCAACAGCTAAAAAGCATGAGAGCTTGAATCTTCCTTTGAGCAGGGAACTAATACAGAAAGGTTAGTGAAAATGACAACTTTTTTAGTAGTTTTATAGCATTTTTTTAATAATTCATATTGATTGTATTCTATTACTTAACAATTACAGCACTTAAAAGTGCTTTGTTACACTAAACAGTAGTTTTTCCTTAAGAGGAAGCACATTTAATTAAATATAATGTACCATATGATCTGCAATTCAAGAATCTTTAATGTGTCATAAATATTTTGTTAGAGAATTTCAGCTCTTTACAATTGAGAACTGATACTTTGAATAATGGTTCTGAATTGAGAGCGCCACTCAGTGGTTAGTCATTCAATGGAACTGTAATGACTCCTCCTGTAAAGATGCATCTTTTTCATTCTAACTGGGCACTTCTAAAAATCATAAATGCTGTCTAAACAGTTTGATAGTGGAACTGTTCCTCTGCTTGGAATGTACAGCCTTGAGAATTACTAACTCCTCTAGAGAAAGTGATGATCCAATTTTTGTACTTACAGTAACAAATGAATATAATGACTCCCTGCTGTATAGTCCAGAAGAACCAAAGATGTTTTTCAGTATTCGAGAGCCTATTGCAAACCGGGTTTTTTCAAGTAGTCTGCAGCGTGGCTTCTTTTCAAAGTAAGTATTGCCTATACATGTAATTGAACACTTAATGTTTAACTAATATGTAAAATAAAATAGGTAGCCTGAGAGCTTGACTTAAATGTGCTTGATACTCAGGTTTCTGTGTCCATACTGAGTCGGAAGCAAGTGTCCTCCTTTCTCTTAGATGCTTTCAGGACTAATTGAGCAGACCAAGGAAAGAATTTCACTTCACCTGAATAGATCACATGAGATGGGCAAAAATATAAACAATATTAAACTGAACAAAACTAGGGAGTTTACTCAACATGCTGAGGTCTAAATGTGATCGAGGCCCCCCAGAAATAGTAGTAGAGGAAAACTATTAAAGCAGGAAGCTTTTGATATGGGATGAGTTCTTAGCAATTAATGCTCACCACCATTTGCTTATTCTGTATTGGAGACATTCTATTTGAGTATAAATTTACACTAGGTTTGTTTGGTACAAAGTTAAAGGTGGGACAGTGGAGAGGTAAAATGCCGAATAATCTCATTCCAATTTAATAGATTAAGCCTTGAAATTCCACCCCCCACTTCCCCCAAAGTAAGATTGCTTTGTTTCTATGAAATTGTGATGTGACTTTTGGAAAGATAGTCACCCTCAATAAAGGAGGTGAGTCACTGTTTCCTTTCTCCCAGCAATGGACACCATTTATACAGCCTGTTAAACAGATTCTGCCACCTCCTTTTCCTCTCTGCACACCAATGGTCCCGTGCAAAGGAATTGCTGATCCTGTCTTTCTGTGGGCTGGTTAGAAACTCCTTTTCTTAGGAAGTCTGACAGAACCCTTGCCTAATAGGAAGTTTGTAGTAAAATGAGACTTTGTTTGCAGAAAACGCATGGGTGGTAGCGGGAGCATAAGGGTCTATAAAATGTCCTCCTCATCCCTATGAAAATATTGAAGCTTTTAATTTGACAGGTCTTCCTCAAGCCGTCCAGACTAAGGCTACGTCTACACTGCACAGCTTACAGCAGCACAGCTGTGCCGCTGCTGTTTATCGGCAGTAGAGAGCTGTCCATTCCTTGGTAAAACTGTTGTTGCTCAGGGATCTGTTTTTTAAGGATTGGTCTTTGGCCTCACTGGAGCTTTTTTCCTAGTTTAAGCATGGTTGGAAGAAGGTGTCTGTTTCTGAAGGCTTTTGGCCTGGAGTTGTAGGTTATACTGAGCTATTGTAATACTTGAGTATATTTGTTATAAGATATGAGCTATGATAAATAGAATTTAATGACATTCATTGATTGAATATCATTTTTCTAATGACATTCATTCATTCTTCTAAATGGTTGCATTGTACTTCTTATTACAGATAGGTTATGGAAAGTGCTGAGTTCTAGATAATGTACAGTAGAGCAATGTTTCAAAATAGTTTTTACTACATGTGGATTGCTCATGGGGGGGCAAAACAAGATTAAGACAATCGGGGGTGCTAGTTCTACCCCAACACAAGGCCCCCTGAAGCCCTCTTTTCTTATTGTGGTCCTGTCCCCTCCCCCCCCCAATCTGAAGTGATGGTGATGGAGAGGCTGTGGCAGTGGCCCCATTAACATCCCCCAGGAGTGGCAGCAGGAGCCTCCCTCTCTCTGGGAGTAGCATGGGTAAGGGCCAGTACTTACTTAACAGTGGGGGTGAATCTACATGAGTGTGTGGGCTGGACCTACTGCATTCTTCTGTCTCACTCATACCAATTTCTGGGGTGATACATAGGCCAGTTTACACGTCTCAGAGCTATTGTTTCAGACTTTCTGCATTCTCAGGCTTGTCACATTTTCAAGCTTTTCTTTGTGACCATAAGGATAGAAACTTTCCTGTTTTTTTTAAATGAACATTTACGTTCTGACTTGATTATGTTGGATCTGGAACCAGGGTTTGGGACTATAGTGCCCATCTATGCCTTAATCCATCCCTGCTCACAGAAGTCCCCACATGTGTAAGTGTAGATTAATGGCTTTAGGATTCTTCTTGCTTTAATTGCTGTCCCATTTTTGGTCAGTGTGACATTTTTGAAAACTTATTTTTTATTAATACCACTCTCACTTTCTACACGTTCTGAAGGATAAACCCCAACAGTTGAATTCCTTTTCATTTTAAAGGTAAGCTAACTGGAAGAATATGATAGTGGCAATGTCTGTTGGTGTTTTGTTCAGTATTAGAAGAGGCTGCTTCTAGAAAATTTATAGGTAAAGTTTTAGCTTAAAATACGTATAGTCAAACTCATTTAATATTGACAGTAATCAGCTAGTTCTACATAAGGGATTTTCTAATAAGCAATATCACCTTCAAGCTTGCACTTCCTTAGCGGTAAAAGGCAAAATCATGCCCATCTGCCCACATCTGTTTCGCATACAATGAAGAATGTGTAAACCTTTCACCTTGTTTGAAAATCATTAGTGCTGCTAATTAGAAATACTGAAATTGCTTGTGCTGTATGCAATGACAAATTGATGTTCATGACTTTAATTGGACATCAAATAGGTAGCATTGTGCTGAACTGGCTCACGTTCCATGGAGTTTTGTAAGAAATCTTCCATTAAGCAAGTCAGTATTAAATGGGTTTAATTGTAGCTTCCTTTCAAAACTTAACTGAGCTACGGCATTCTCATTATTTGAACAGTTGCACTATGTGGGCTGTCTTTCTTTTCTAGCAGACAGTGTAATTCTGGCTGGATGGCATTTGGATGGCTACTTTCATCCTTCATGTAGATTCCTTCCCTCTCCTAAGCAAAGTGCTAATACTGTATATTTTTTACTGTTTAGTACAGTTTGAAGTTCGTTTGAAAAGATGCTTGAAGAATAGTGCATTCTTTCAGTGGGATTCTATATGGATGGGGACAGGGTGGATTGATTTTAAATAATTGATTTTTAACCTTGTTTTGCATTTGTACTTATTTTCCTCAAGTGCGGTTGATTCTTAGTGATTGGTTTGCAATTAAATACAGCCTTTACACTAAATTTAGTATTTCTTTTTGCTAACTAGGAACAAACGTTATATGTATATACCTTTTTATAAAACTTATTTTACACTTATTAGGATTATTCATTTTCAATTTTTTAATTACATTGCAAAATGAATGATACGTTTCTTATTTACTAAATCAGTGGTTTTCAACCTGTGGTTCGCAGACCTCTGGGGGTCTGCAAAGGATGTCTAAGATTTCCAAAGGGGTCTGAAGAGGCATAGTAAGGCAATGTAAGCGTCTGCAAATGAAAAAGGTTGAAAAACACTGTACTAGATGGTTAATTATTTTACTTGTGATTTGTGGCATCTATTTGGATGGAAATTCAAATTCAATTAATGTACAAACACAAACATTGTAAAATGATTTTATTAGTTAAATAAAACTACTTTAAATGTGCTAGATACATACATTTTATGATAAACTTTTTTCTTATCAAAACATGTTTTGCATTTAAAACTGATTTATTAAAGCAAGTATCATCTGTATGGGCTGGATGAATGGACTATAAGGTGGATAGAAAGCTGGCTAGATCGTCGGGCGTAGCGGGTAGTAATCAATGGCTCCGTGTCTAGTTGGCAGCCGGTATCAAGCGGAGTGCCCCAAGGGTCGGTCCTGGGGCCGGTTTTGTTCAGTATCTTCATCAATGATCTGGAGGATGGTGTGGACTGCACTCTCTGCAAGTTTGCAGATGACACTAAACTGGGAGGAGTGGTAGATGCGCTGGAGGGTAGGGATAGGATACAGAGGGACCTAGACAAATTAGAGGATTGGGCCAAAAGAAACCTGATGAGGTTCAACAAGGACAAGTGCAGAGTCTTGCACTTAGGACGGAAGAATCCCATGCACTGCTACAGACTAGGGACCGAATGGCTAGGCAGCAGTTCTGCAGAAAAGGACCTGGAGGCTACAGTGGACGAGACGCTGGATATGAGTCGACAGTGTGCCCTTGTTGCCAAGAAGGCTAATGGCATTTTGGGCTGTATAAGTAGGGGCATTGCCAGCAGATCGAGGAACGTGATCGTTCCCCTCTATTCGACATTGGTGAGGCCTCATCTGGAGTAGTGTGTCCAGTTTTGGGCCCCCCACTACAAGAAGGATGTGGAAAAATTGGAAAGAGTCCAGCGGAGAGCAACAGAAATGATTAGGGGGCTGGAGCACATGACTTATGAGGAGAGGCTGAGGGAACTGGGATTGTTTAGTCTGCAGAAGAGAAGAATGAGGGGGGATTTGATAGCTGCTTTCAACTACCTGAAAGGGGGTTCCAAAGAGGATGGATCTATACTGTTCTCAGTGGTATCAGATGACAGAACAAGGAGCAATGGTCTCAAGTTGCAGTGGGGGAGGTTTAGGTTGGCTATTAAGAAAAACTTTTTCACTAGGAGGGTGGTGAAGCACTGGAATGGGTTACCTCGGGAGGTGGTGGAATCTCCTTCCTTAGAGGTTTTTAAGGTCAGGCTTGACAAAGCCCTGGGTGGGATGATTTAGTTGGGGGTTGGTCCTGCTTTGAGCAGGGGTTTGGACTAGATGACCTCCTGAGGTCCCTTCCAACCCTGATATTCTATGAAGTGAATTGAACAGATTGTTTCTGGTCACTATGTCCTTCAAGATTTTAGAACTGGTAGATTTCATCCACTCATCTAGTTTTTATTTGTAGATTGGAAGAGGAAAGCACGCTTTCCTGCTTTTCTAACTCCCAATTAGTGTCTCAACATTGGATTAGGTAGTCATTTAATTGAACTAGTTGAATAAACTGAAATAAAGAAAATATTCTTTCTGTAAGTACAGAAGAAGCTGCTGCTGTCAAAAGCTAGTTCTGCAGTTCAACAATTTCTGATTCCTTCTCCTGACCCAGTGACTTCCACCAGTTCAGTGCTTTGACTTTGTTTACAACTTGCCAGCAAACATATACTGCTTAATATTTTTTATTTAATTTAAATTATTTTACTAGATTATAGTAAGTTTAGGCCTTAAAGTAGGCTGTCAGTTTCAAGTGTAATTTTAAATAGGTTTATTTTTTTTAAAAACAAACTTTGATTATTTTAAAATAAATGTATTTAATTTAAATTTTAAAAAATCTATTTTTATCGACCCTGGCTTGGGATGTTTTTTCTGATTTACTAACACATAAAAGAAAAGGGGCTATTCAGTCTATGAGAACTAACCCCTTGTCCAAAACTGTAGTGTAGGGAAGTAATGTATTTTCTAACTATTTTATTGGAAATCTGAGTATAACACTTGTTCAAGACACTTGATCACTTGTCTTGCTTTTTGCAGGGTTTGTGTCCGGTCACGTTGTTGGGATGCCTGTATGGTGGTAGATGGAGGAACTTCTTTTGAGTTTAATGATGGGGCAATAGCTTCAATATTGATCAATACAGAAGATGCATTGCGCACTGTTTTGCTAGAAGAATGAAGAAATTTAATACAGTCTGTTGAAATCCTACTAAATCCTGCACCCGGAAAAGGGAATCACTGCAGAGATAGACAGTACATCAGAATGCTGCATTATTTTAAGTTGAAAAATTTTCTTCTCTTGATGCAAGAATATTGAGAAGAGACCTGAAATCATTTCCCATTCCTGGGATGGGGAAATCTTGGAAAAAACTGGTTTTTGAGCTTTGTTTTTTGCACCTGACACAAAGGAAATGTATCTAACTTCAGTGAAATGTGATTTTTTTTTAACCTTTTAAGATGAATGTGACAGAACACTTTTTTTAAAAATTAGGTAGATGGGTTCAAATGAAATAAAGTGGTTAGCCTTGAATATTCAACTGTACAGTTTTTTCATAGCAGTCTGGAACTGAATGAACCAAACACTTCAACCCTGCATACATATACTTTTACAGAAAAATATGCTAAGATTCATTGAGTTGATGCAAGCATAAAGAATAGACTTTGGAAAATAAATCTTGATGTTGGCCTAACTGAAATGAAGATTTTTTTTGTACCCTCTTCAAACTTTTACAACGCTGCTTTGTGGTATGGTTTGTGGTAGATCTTTCAGCTCTTCCAGAGATTTTTCTACTATTTTGGTATCTACTTCAGGACTTTTTTTTGGAAAATGTTTGTTCCGGTGACTAGAAAAACTCATTTATTTTGAGTGAGGTAACTCTTCCCTATGTTTCATCTGAAATCTAGATTTTTGTTGTTGTTGTTGTTGCCTGCTATAAATCTACTTTTTAATACAAATTATTTTAACTACAATAAATTATGCTGCTTCAATTAATACATTAACTGGCCAGCAAGTGTTCTGTCAATCAGACAGTTGAAGAGAATGGTATCGAATTATATAGTTTGGGTTTTAAAAAAAGCGATATTTGGAGTTAGTAAGTAAAATGACTTGGTTTTAAATTGAGTACTTGATCTGCTTCATAACTATACTTCTGAAGATGCAGAGAAATCACATACCATTCTTTTTGTATGCCAAACATGTATGGGAGACATTAGGGTCTAATGGATGGGGCCCAGGATTAACCTCTATACCTCTTTTCCCCATTTGTAGAATGGAGCTAGCATTTTGAAGGGAAATTAAATACTTTGATATTTATGGATAAAGAGCCCTATGTAAGTGCTAAATTATTCTGCTGACACTCTCAACTGACTGTGACCAATTTATGCTTTTGGTCCCATACACACAACTTCTTTATGCAGATAAGTATTTAAGCACAACGAGTCTGCAAAAGAGAAAAGCCCATTGTTATCCACAGAAACTGTAAGCAACTTTATGATAATCTCGGGAAAGGTGGTGTGCTGAGTAGCATGTGGATTGCAGGGCAGAACTGGGCAAAACTAAGATAACAGTTTGAATTTTATGCATGTGACTTAATAGCAACAAAAAGGGCTTGTTTCTACTGTAGAATGAACTTTTATTTCAGACATTATTCTTCAAATGATACTTGTTTGAAGATATTTATACTGCAGATTTACTCAGAAGTTCTAATGGTAGTCAATGTATTTATTGTTTAGATTTTGAAATGATAAACTCTTACTTTACAGGTGGAGCAAGTAGATGAATGATTTTACCCTTATCAAATAAGTAGTTTAAACAGCCTTATTTTCTCTGTACTCAGCATGAAAAGTTAAACTCCAGTTAAATGTTAAGAGGAAGAGCCCTGAGATGGTTAAACCAATAAAGCCATTGTAATGAGATCAGTTATAGTTACAGGTTTATGCACACTTTAGATATAATCTTTTCTTTAAAAAAAAAAAAGAATTGCTGTAGACTGAAATGTGGCATAAATGTCCACTTGAAAGCTCTTTGGGCTGCAAGTGGGAAGGTGGAGTCAAAATAGCCCATTAAGCTCTTTTGAAACTATTGAGTTTTACTGTTACCAAACTGATGCTCTTCTACATGTCTATTGCAAAAAACCTGCAAATTTGTTCTAAAAGTGAATGTTAGTCCACATTGTGGATTAATCCCTTTTTTTAACAGAGATGTACTGTGCAGGAACCAGAGTATTCCAGTAAATTCATTGTTATGTAAAAAATAATCCACCTTTCAACAGTAGTTTTTGCATTCTCCTCCATGTAAATATGCACTTTAAATGCGCTAACCCCAAAATAGGCCTTTTAAGTATTTAAATACCTTTTAAGAACACTTTATTTGTATTTGTATGATATTTAAACTAAAGTTAATCAAATAATAATAATATGATTTAACTTACGGACACTAAAAGGTAGGGCAAAAACTACATCTTCCACTCAGCAAAAATTGTGAAGACTCTCTAAACAAATGAGGATAGCTATCATGTGCTGTAATATTTAGAACAGGGATGGATTAAACAACATGGTTTTTTTTGCTTTTGAGTTTCAGACCCTTAAATTGAGAATGCTGTGTCTTAAAAGCAACACTGCCAAGTAGTATAGTTCCAGTCGTTGACCTGCTTTTAAGATTTGGTATGAAATATCAGTTGGATTCATAAGTATTAAAAATAATCACAAAATGAGTTTGTGGACCTGAACCGCTCTTTTGTGCCCTCTACTGGCTTTGTAGCTGAAGTTAATCACTTACTGTATTTCTGATGCTCTTGGTGCTGGTGCACAAACCAAAGTAATGAGATGGAACTGTTAGTTTGTGCTCATTAGAAATACTAGCATGGGGTCAAAAATCCATATTGGACAAATCAGTAGGAAGAGCTCATGCCTATTATATAAATTAAGTGTAAAATCCTTTTAAAATTTGGTAAATTCTAGTGTTTATAAAGGAATGTAATATAAGCAACTTATCTGAGAGTCTAGGATACTTTTATGACAGAAGTCAACACAATCTAACTGCTTTGTCCATCCAAACTGGTATTAACTTCAAAAAACAAAGCTATTTTGGCAGCCTGCTCAATCCAGAACATTTCAGTTAAGCAATAGTTAACACCACTTAACATTTTGTTAAACTAAAATTTGACATTCTTTGCTTTTAAAAAGAAACAGTGGTATGTTGATACATACATGTAATAAATGAAATCTGGAGAGATACATGAAACTGTTTCACGCCTTGTACTTATCTGTATCTTTTGTGTTGAAAGTGCTCTTTTAAATATTTATTGAAATCTTTTGACGTGCTATGCAGTTTTTCTGATGTTTGTTAGTATTTGGCTAAGCAGGAAACATTTCTTTAGAGCAGGAGTGGGGAACCTTTTTTCAGTCGGGCCACTGATCCACAGAAAAAATCAGTCGTGGGCTACACACAGCCCCGCGGGGGGTGTGGAGGCTCGGGGCTTCCCCCCACAGCGGGGTGAGCTGACGCTTGCGGGCTTCCCCTAGGCTCTGGGGTGGGGCCAGAAATGAGGGGTTCAGGGTGGTGGGAGGGGACTCTGGGCTGGGGAAGGTGGTTGGGGTGGGGGTGCAAGGTCTGGGAGGGAGTTAGGGTGCAGGAGGGGGCTCCAGGCTGGGGAAGGGAGTTGGGGTGAAGGAGGGGGTTATGACCTGGGGCAGGGGATTTGCAGGGTCTGGCGGGGCAGCACTTAGCTCAGGTGACTCCCAGTTGGTGGCACAGCAGGGCTAAGGCAGGCTCCCTGCCTGCCCTGGCTCTGTGCCGCTCCCAGAAGCGACTGCCATGTCCGGCCCCTAGGTGGAGAGGCCAGGTGGGTCTGCATGGTGTGTGCTGCCTGCCCCCTGCAGGCACTGCCCCCGCAGCTCCCATTGGCTCCGGTTCCTGGCCAATGGGAGCTACGGAGCCGGCGCTGGGGGCGGGCGCAACTTCCCTGATCGCCCCTGTGCCTGGGAGCCGCAGGGACATGCGGTCGCTTTCGGGAGCTGCGCGGAGCTGACTAGACTTTTAACAGCCTGCCAATCCTAGCTTCCCTCCTCAGTGGGGAAAGGGGGGGGGGGGCACCGAGGCTTAGGGCTTTCAAACCGTGGCATGGAGACTTGCCGTGGGCCTCATGAAATTAAGCAGGGGCCAGAACCGGTCCGCGGGCCATAGGTTCCCCACCCCTGCTTAAGAGGACCTACACAGAACTTAAAAGGGAAACTTGCCACTTAAATGTGTCCCAAACTTATCCCTGTGGTGAGACTTCCTAATTTTTTGTGAATGTTTTAGCCAGTTACACAACTTCTAGTTTAACATTCAACATTCTTTGCTCTTGAATCATTTGGATATAGTTAGCCAACATGACCTTTTTTCTAATTTAAAATTTGAAAATGACAAACCTGAACCAGGGAAAAACTTGCATTGCTTGTGTTTAGGGTGCCAGAGACACCTTTATATTTATTGCATTAAACTTGAGACAAAAACCTTCAATCTAAAGTGGAAGCCTCTGATAGTGGAGGTTCAGGTAATGAGCACTGCAGCTTGAACATGAATATATTCAGAAGGTCCAGAACTCCTCCGTTCTAGTTGCAGACATAGAACATTGTACTCTGATTCGGTAAGTTGTCAAGCCAAGCAGTTTAAGGCCAGGTTAGTTCAGAAACCTGCAGAAGCGTTGTTTTGGTTTTATGTACGTCGCACTCTGTGCTAAACTGATGATGTCCCAGCATAGTAGTTGTGTGGGCAAGCTGTACTGGTACAGCCTTTTGGTAATTTTCTTCCTGCTATGAGTTGTGTAGTGGTCAGCAACTACTGTGTTAGATATTAGTGGTTACCCTATTAAACCTATATTGTGGAATCTGTCTCAATGCACACTACCTCTGAATGACCTGCCTTTAACTATAAGGCCTTAAGAACATATATACACACACACACACACACATAATATATACATGTAAGGAGATATATATATATAGTGTGTATATATCTCCTTACATGTTTTCTGTATATACATGTCCGAAAGACTGAGTGAACACAGGCTTGTGGTAGACAGGTGGTAATCAGTGAACTAGAATGTACATACCTGACCCAGGGGATCCCTGTAACCCTTATGCATACCGGTGCCCTCTGCCAGTCAGCATGAACTTTTAGGGGTCACTGACTGGAACCACTGGCAAACCAAGAAATTAAGGTAAAACTTTACTAAATCAAAACATTGAAAACTGCATAAGATAGCTCAATCCAATATGGTGATTATAAATGTTTCAGGTTTCAGAGTGGTAGCCATGTTAGTCTGTATCAGCAAAAACAATGAGGAGTCCTTGTGGCACCTTAGAGACTAACAAATTTATTTGGGCATAAGCTTTCCTGGG